GAGAAAAATGCATGTGCTCTCTGTACCATGTCTTCTTTGTTCAGCTGCTAGATTTTATAGTTTTCCTTCAGATGTGCCTCATACTCGGATGCTACCGACAGCATCAGCTGGGCCACCTAATATTGTAGCAGCCTTTGGAGGGTTCTCCGTAGACACTACTCTCTTTCCTATCTTGCCCATCTCTTCAGGGAATGCATGAATCCAGTTAGCATGCCACGTCTGAAAGTCTGCTGCTCTATTCTTTAGAGGAAGAGGTGGAGGAAAGGAGAAATAAATGTCACCACACATAGTCAGATCAAACTAAAAAGAACAAAATTTGAAATGAAACTATTTAAGTTACTGTTCCAATTTGCAGGCTTTGTTTCTTTGTCAAAGTGGCATGGCCTGACTTATATAAGTAATCTTATCCCCTAAAGTTACAACATGCTTTGTAGTTTGGTAGCTCTTTAATATGTCTTATTTGATCCTCACAACAGCCCTGTGAATTAGAGCAAGTAGAATTATCTTTCTTTCGAATACAGGGGAGTTTAGATTGGTTTGAACAAGGTTACTTAAGTTAGAATGGAAGGAACTGGGACTTAGTTAAGATCTCAAATCCTCTGCCACACAGATATAAAGTTTAAAAAAAAATTTCCATTCCCTATGTTTTCTGTGTGGTTTTTGTTTGTTTCATCTGTAATGTGCTTTACTAAATAAACATTGTTTCTTTTTAAGACCTGAAAACCACCTTCTTTATGGTAACAGAGCTCTTTGCTTTCTTCGTACTGGACAGTTCAGGTAAATTTATTAAAGTATTCCAGTCACTGAATTACTATGCTAAACACCCATTTTTGGGAAACATTTCTGTTTTGCAGGTATGCAGGAAAATCCTTGAATAGTTATTTGGCAGAAATACTTAAATGGTTTAAAGAGGGCACTGTAGGCTTTTTGTGTAATAACAACAGTGACAGCAGCAGCTGTTTTGATTGAGTGCAAAATATGTTATACATTATTTTAAGTGCTTTACATATGTTATTCAATTCTCACAGCACCTGTAATAGGTAGGTAATGTTATTCTCCACATTTTACATGTGGACCAACTCATACCACTAGTAAAAATTTATGTCAAGATTTGAACACAGATCTGATCTGTTGATCCCAAAGTCTGTTTATAACATCTGTAATATATTGCCTCCTTTTGCTCTTAGTTAACCTATAATATATACACTGAAATAAGCATTTTTGTTGTATTTTTTCTCTATTTATCTTGGTATAAAAAATTAAAATGTCCTTCATAAGTGAAAGAGAGCAAAAAAATTTAATGGTATAAGAGTGGAATCATAATTAATTCTTTGTTCTTTATGTTGAATTTGAGCTGAACTTTGTTAGTTGAGAATGATTGAGAAAGACACTGTATTGTGATTTTATTGTTCCTTAGTTTTAAAGTTTTAGAGCATAAAGTACCTTGCTTAATACTGAGCAAGGTAGAATATTGTATTTAATAATGTCCCGCCCTATTGTAAGAAGGATTTAGGGAGGATTCAAGAATACATCCACACAGTAGAAGAATATTCAAAACAAATTAGAAATCCAAGTTAGAGCCTGGGATCCTCAGAACATAGCTGCATATGCATAAAGCCCTGCATAGGTATTAGTTAAAATTCATATTTACATCTGACCTGTTGCCAGAATGAAAAGGGAAAATTTGACAAGTTATATAATTCTCGTCCATAAAGAAGCAAGTTACCAATTGCTTGGATGAAACCGTGTTTTCATAGTGTTTAGTTCCGAAAGGAATTTCTTATATGGCTTACAAGAAATATTAATTGAGTGATGGAGTACAGAGTAATGTCAGCAATATCCTGTTCATAGCAAAAACTCCCTGGACGTGCAGTTTTGGGTTTCACAAACAAGTTTTTTGGTAAAATTTTCTCATGAAACTGTTTTTCAATAAAAGCACTTTAGTTGGGATGTGGGAGGGTGGGAGTGGGGAAGGTGGTGTATTCCAAGTATGTAGCTTTCAAAATAACATTTATTGTGTTTTTCTTTTATTATAAACAGAACACATTCTCATGGTAGAAAATTTGGAAAATACAAGAGTTTAAAAAGAAGAAAATAAAAATCACCAGTAATCCAACCACCTCGGAGAATACCGCTGTATTAACGTTATGCAGCTTTTAGATGGCTTAAGCCGTGGATAAACCGAGGCTATCTAGACTAGAGGAATGGATGGGCTTGACACAGTCTTCCATCAATACCACTGTCCTCACCTGGTTCTGACAAGAAATGAGCTGCAAATGTCTTTAGGTTACTGCCTCTGGCTAGGGCCAGAATTGCATATATTCTGTGCTGTTCGAAGGTGGATTTGTATGTTTTCAAGATCAGATGAATAGGTTGGCAACTTGGCTAGCCTCTTATGAAAATTGAGGCACCTATCTGAAACCTTGCCTGGTAGAAGGTCATCTACTCTCCAGCTCCAAGAGCTGAGAGGCAAACCAGGATGTTTCTGCTCTCTTTCATGAGTGTTGTATGCTAGACACACAAGGAGGATCCTCCTAAAACCCTGCTTCAACAGGTGAATCAAAGTAGAAATACAGAAGCCAGGTAGTGTGGTGAGGGAAAGGCAAAGAGCAGAGTCGTAGACTGCCCTTGTACTTCTTTCCCGATGGTCTAGCTTGTGGTTTAACACCATCTACGTTTTCATTAGAGGCCGGTCAGCAGCATTGAGAGCCCTTCGTTCCTTATTAGGCAATCAGTATGTATTGGATGCCCGTTTACGAAGCATTTTGCCACACTAGTTTTGCTGGTGTTTCCTACCTTCTCACATTGTTTATATGATTTGCTCAATAACGTAAGGATAATGTTTTCATTGTCCATAGTATACAAAACTTCTTATCAAGTGACTAGATGATGTGACTTAAGAACACATGCCTAGTAATTCATATGGGCAGTTAACTTAGGAGGACCCATGTCCTGTAAAGGTCTTTTAGTTGAATTACCAAGGTTGAGATGTTTTGATGCTCTCAATCAGAAGGTTGTTAGATCTGCCATGGGAATTTGGCTGAGCAGCTGCAGGGACAGCTGGGGGAAAAGCATCTGCCCTCCCCCAGTTTGGCAAGGATGTACTCTGCAGCTGTTCCACAAGGCCAGGCTTCTTTGCTGTCTTAGAAGCAAGAATTGACATGTCCAAAGAGAACAGAAATGGAACATTTTAAACTAACAGAAAAGAAAAGAATAAAATTAAGGTCATGAATGCTGAAATTTCTGAAAACATTAAGTCCTAAAAGATGAGAAAATATGAATTGAAACATTAAAAGAAAAAGAGATTCAATTTTAAAAGATAACTGACAAGGTTAATTTCTAAAGTGGTAAAAATAATAATACTGTATCTTACAACATGGCTGTCACTGTTCTGAGCACTTCATGCATGTTAACTCATAAAACACAACCGTGTGAGGTAGGTGCTGCTGCCTCTTTTCAGATGAGAAAACAGGCATATTGAGGCCAAAGTGTCCGAGGATACTGGGTGGATGTGTTACAGCCAGAACTTGAACCCAGGCAGCCTGGATGCAGCGTCTCTGCTATGACTCACTATGGAATGGTGATGGTAGAGTAAAAGGGGAATGCGAAGGTTGAAAAAAAGGAAAAATAAATGGTCCAAATAGTCAAACATTTATGAGGAAATTATTATCCTTACAGGACATGCAGATTAAAAACTGTGAGTTTTTCTTTCATACCTGTCAAATTGGCAAAAATTTAAATGTCTTGTAATAGCAAGTGTTTGAGAGGATGTGGAACAAAGGAAACTCATACCCGGCTGGAGAAAGTGTAAATTGGTACAATCATGGAGAGCAATTTGACAAAGTGAAGATGTACATACTCTGCAGCCCGCTTCTAGGCTCATACCCTCGAAACTCTCAAATGTGTACCCAAGAAGATATGTACAAGCCTTCATTATAGCATTGTTTGTAAGAGTAAAGAAATGGAAACAACCTAAATGTCCATCAGTAGGGGAATGGATAAATAAATTATGGTATATTCATACAATGAAATTCTATATGGCAGTTGAAATGAATGCAATGTTGAGTGAAAAAGCAAGTTGCAGAATGATTTGTACAGTATGGTGCCATTGATTAAGGTTTTAAAACATGCAAAACAATGTGCATGTCCATAATTAACACAGAATATGTATGAAAAATGTTTTAAAAATGCATGGGCATGTTAAACACCAGGGAGTGGCTGTCTCTGGAGAGAGAAGGAGGGAAAAGGAGAGATGGGAGGAATAGTACACCGTGGATGTCAACTGCAGCAAACTTCTCCAAAAAGAGCTGAAGTAAATATGGCAAAATGTTAATTTCTTACTAAGTTGGTACACGGTTGATAATGGGTGTTCATTTTGTTAATGTTATTCTCTGTACTTTCATGTATACTTGAAATATTTGCTAAAAAGTAAAAAAAGTATAATTAAAAATGCATATGACAAGAGAAACAAAAGAGAAACAAAAACAGTGATCACTAAATATCAAGGATAAAATAAGTGAAAAATGATCTCGAAGGGAGAGGAAAACAAATATTTTAAGGCCAGTGGCAGGGGTGGGGTGTGGGGAGCCTGAGGTGAGATAACGAACGAGGAAACATGCTTCCTTCAGAAATGGTCAAATGGCGGTGGTGATTTTAATGCCAAAACAGTCACACAGTTTGTAAATCATGCCATCTTTGGGTGAATATAAGTGAGGCCGAGAGCCTATCAAAACCCCTCCGGGTCTGTGGATGTTGCCCTTGGGACATGCAGGGGTGGGGATCGTGGGTGGGGGGCTGCGCTGCCTCCTTCGCCCTGGACCCAGGCGCTTCTCCCCTTTGAGTCCTTCAGGCTGAGGAATGTGTGCATCCCAGGACACCTGGCTCGGATGACATGTCCCTTTTATTCTGGTCTGGAAGTGCACTTTTCAAATACAATTTGGTAACTGTAGGGCAGTTTGATGGTTGTAATTAAAGTAATCAGAAATTTTCAGTTGAGAGGAGAATCTAGAAAAAGGAATCAGGTATATCTGTAACTTGTGTAGTTACAGCAGCTTATGCAGTATATATGATTAGGTTTTGCCCACTTACTGTTTAATTCATTTTTGTGGGACTTACATATGGCAAATTCAGATTCTTTGGTGAAATGTGAACTGTGTGAAGGGAAATGTAATTGGAGAAAAAGAAAGCTTAGCCTTGAATGGGTTTTCAGTTTGCTTTGGAAAATCACGTATTTTTTAAACTTGTTATTTACTTGACCTTTTGGTATTTATTTAACTATTTACCCATCATCTGATATGCACTTCTATATCACACCCCAACTGTGATTAGTAGCAGACAGATAGACTTTAAATGACTCCTCTGTTTTTATTTTCCTGAATTTCTGTGAGACCAGAGGGATAAAGCAACTCACCTGTGTGTTTCTCTGAACATTTCAAAAATTCTTGTGTGTGTGTGTGTGTGTGTGTTGGTTTGGTGATTTAATCTTCACTGTGCTTTCTATGTGGTCTCTTTAGTTTTACTTAGAAGATAGAGTGTGCTTTTGAAGAAAATACTTAATTTTTTAAATCTTCTTTGGGATGCACCCTTCTTTTAAAAAAGCAGTAACAAATGCACATGGTGAAAAATTAAGATTAAAAAAAAGGGTACACTGAAAACCCTTGCCCAGCTCAGACCCATTCCCTAATCTTTCTCTTTAGATCCTTGTGTTCCATATTATATGCCTGTACAAGCACTTATGTTGAACCAAATGAAATTGCTATTTTTGTAAGTCAGAATAT